ATCAGATTAATCTGGAAATTACCTGAACTTCACAATGTGAACTTTCTTTCAGATTCAGAGCAATTAAACAAAAGACCCACAAAGCATAAAAAGCATACACTATCAATTTCAATACTCTCCAACTGGAGTACCCCTTACCCACTCCAGAAAAAAACTTTCCTTTCAACTTTGATAAAAAAAAGTGGCTCTGAAGAAAGTCAAAAGAAACCATTTACTGATAGCGACCAATGGGTTCGTCTTCATACGAAGATTTTGACCAAAACGAAAGGGGTTTAAGGGTTATGTGAGGATTAGTGGGAAAGTGGAGGAAGAAGAAGAAGAAAGGGCAAAAGCATTAAGCACGTCTGAACGCAAACATTTTTGAATGAGAATCCACACCTTTTGCGGGCAGAGACTGGGTCAGGTACTCAAGCTGCCAAAACTCACAATTTCATCTTTCTAATCATTGCTTCGTTGGTGGGTAGCCACTATCCGTGAAATTTTGTTTCATTTACTTTGAAGATGTGTTTGAGTCGCATTATTTTGAAAGAATGTATTATGAAATATTAAATTGATGAAAAATGTGTAGTTGAAAAAAAGAAAAAATTATTAATTTAATGAAAATATTATTTTATTAAAGAATGTGAAATTGAAAATGAGTAGAAGAATGAAAATAAAAATTTTAATGTGGCTCAAACAATGGCTGAATCTCATTCTTTAAAAAAAAAACACACAATTCTTTAAATTCATTATTAGTTATATTTTTCTAATAAATATTGTGTTCGGATTTCATTTTAATTTTATTGTATTTTTTTCTTTTTCTTTTTAATCATATATTTTTCAATAAAATAATATTACAATAGATTCACGCTCAAATTTTAAAAATATAAATATAAAAGGAAAAGAGAAAAACGGTGTTCTTTCTTATCATTTCTTCAGCCACTCCAACTCACCAACCTCATTCTCACCGCCCATTCAAATTCATCATTCCACGCTTTGTAACCTAATTTTTGGATAAAAAGACTTTCTGGATTTGGTTTTGGGAATGGGGTGGGGAAGATGACGGGGTTTTGGTTTTTAAATTTTTTATTTAGGATGTGTTTGGTGTATATTAAAATGAAAGAATGCATTTTTTTAAAGTGGTGTGATATGAAATATATGGTTAAAAAAAAAAAGTTATTGATTTGATGGAAAATATTATTTTATTAAAAAATTTGTGGTTGAAAAATGAGAATGAAAAAAGTAATGTCTGTCAAACGGGGGCTTAATTATTTTCTTTTATTTTTTAATTGTTTTATTATATAAAATATAGATGTACTGTTTTAACCTTCTAAAATTGATCAAAATTAAAAGAAAAAAAAAAATCAAGACATCTTTGATCTGTGTTTAATAATTAATTATCCTAGTTTAATTATTAATTATGTCATTGCCTCTGAAATCTTTTTTTTTTGTTGACCGTATGTGTTGTGTTCTTGACGATGATCCTTAACATATTTTCTAACCCATTGAATCATTGAGATACCCAAATAGTCACTGAAGTACTTTTTTGACCCATTTAGTCATTAAAGTAAATAACTTATTTTTTTGACCCATTTAGTCATTAATTCCTTATTATTAATTATACTTTATCCCCTACATATATATTTTTTAATTCAATCCTATATGATTTTTCATTTCAACCTTTTGAATTTCTTTTCAATATGCTAAGCAAAGAAAAGATTGATGCATTTGCTCAAAGTGACACTGACATTATTTTCACTAAACGAGTGATTCATGTCACTTGAATTGTTTCCACATAAACACGTTGTTAGTTCTATCTTAGAGAAAGAGTTCATCTTACTTATTCAACGAAGTAAGTGTTTAAGAATAATAAAAAATAATAATAATAATAATAAACAAAATAGTTCTGTGTAATTTCCAGAAAAACAAAGGACTCATGGTAGGGATGACAAAATAATTAAAACATGATTTATGTCATGAACTCATCCCGACTTTTATTTTATTCACATTCTTACAATTCAAATCATATTTTAAAATAATNTATTATATATATATTTTTTCAGCTTCTTAATTATTCCTCCTAATGCTGAGAGAATTATCAAATCAAATTGACAATCATTTTTATAGAGTTATAAAATATCGCCCATTCGAGATAAGAGTTTATACTACACATTTATTCTCATCATTTTTTACTTTCCATCTTAATGCATTGTGGTGTGTTAATTTTACATATAATGCACTATCGAAATAATTTGATGGAAAAATTAGGCTCTGACCATAAGCTAAGTTATAACTAGGACAACTATGATGTTGGCATGATACGTAATGACTTTTCCTAAACTGAAATGTGAAGTATTTGGTTCTCAATTAAAATAATTGGATGCGTTTAACAAGCAATAATGTTAAACCATTTATCGACATCTCAACTAGCACCTATTAAAAAGTTGAGATATAGGATTACTAGTATTAAAAAGACACACCGTCTTAATTGTGTAATCTGAAAATTATGCTCATAATTTGAGTAACACTTTTGCAAATTTCAGGTTGCGAAAACCATGCAATCATCTAATATTTGTATCAAATCTATTAGATACAAATAATATCTAGATGGTCAACGTGGAGGGTGACGGGGCCACATATATCACCCTAATTAATTTTTAGAAGCATAGGGAATTCAATTCTTGTTTAACTAGTAACGATCAATGACCAATTTTCAATAAAGATAACAAATATCAAATATGATTTCATTGGATTGAAAAATCTTTCGATTCTTCGTTGAATATCCATTTGAATATTTAATTTCGAATCATTAATTATCTAGTGATGATCAAATTGATCATACCAAACAATAAAGTCAAATTAAACTTCTGGATCAATATAAGATATAATTCAATTATTTAATTTCAAAGAATATGATTAAACATTATATAATCATATATCATTCGAGTAATCAAATTAATCAATGTACTTGGGACATTAATTACATGTCGTCCTTCAGGGATAAACATGAATTCAAAATGATACATTCTTCGAAACATGTACCACTTCGAGAGTACGTTGTATTTATTATTGCTTATTCAAAAGCAATATGTGAATATTCTTCTGAAATAGTGAAAATTATAATTCATACTTTTCAGGAGGAAGTAATTTTCTTTTGAAATATTAATTATGATGTTGTGCAACTTCAGAGACAACAAAGAACTTTTATTTCGAAATATTAGTTCTTCATGAGCCATGTATTTGTTTCTTCAAGTGCAATATATCAATACTCTTCTGAATCAGATTGTCATGCTCTTCAAGAACAATAACATATTATTATTTGAAATAATCAATTGTATAAAAATTTATTTTTCAGGAGTTAAAACACAATTTATTTTATTTAATTATACTCTTCGGAAGCATATAAAATCTAATTAAAATATTAATAATAGCGTGCTACTTCAAGAGCAACAATATTTGTAATAGACTGATTTACGATTAATATTCTTATGAAATATTAATTATAATGTTGTGCTATTTCAGGAATAACAATATGATAAATTATTAATGTAAAGTTTATAGAAAAACATCTAAAAATATTTAATTACCATATAAACATAATGTGAATTTATATAGAAAAATTAATTACCAAAAATGTATTAACAAAAAGATCTTCCAAACATGTATTAGGGAAAAAAAATCTTCATATACCGAATTAAATAGTAGAATATTGTTGAATGAAATACGTTCAGAGCATCCTGTAGAATATTTACGCATAAAGACATTAATTAATGCAAAAATCATAATTACATTTTATATAAACATGAATTAATTCGAAGACATGTGATTAAGCAAAAACTGGTGAATTCGACTTAATACGATTAATTCAAAAACGTGATTTGATGTACATGCATAAATCATAAAGATTGTACAGATATGAATTCAAAGATATAAATCATGGATCATGCATATGTTCACACATGAATTGACTAAACAAGAATGTACTAAATTCTATGTAGACATGAATTGGAAAGGCAAGTTAGAATCTAACCACAAAATCACATTTTGATGGATAATGGGGAGGGTCATTTCGATCCTGGGCGACCCAACCCATTTGACACTACTAAATTGACCCCCATCAAAATCGTTGAAGTCCTTGCTAGGTCAAAGTGCATTGATTCAGGTAACTACATTTCGTTCTCTCTCATGCTCTACAGATCTTTCAATCTCTCTCGAGCCTGTGTAATTTGATTCTAATTTTGACAACACAAGTTTAAATACTCTCTTGGGTCTGTGTAATGTAATATATATGATTTTTTACAACAAAAAATTTTATTAGTTGTATTTATAAAGTATCTCCTCATAGAAAAGGAAAAAAAAAAAAATCATCCACAATAGATACCAATGAAATTAGACATACATGCTTAATTTTTTAGGTTACAAAATTACAAAATTTAAAATGAATAAGAAATTGATTTTTAACTACAAAATATCAACTAATCCAAAAAACAATTCTAATTTATTGATTTTTCAATGTTTTTTTTGCTTTTTATTCATTTAAAAAAAATGTTAATTAGAATATAGCAATTAAGAATTTATGTTTGTTTTCTTAGATTTTTGGAAGAGTTAAATGAAATATTTTCTAAAATTTTCAGTATTTTATTAACTTATCAAAATTAATGAAAAGAATATAATTAAATTTTACAAATCCTATCTCATTAAAAAAATATCATGCAAAATACTGTATAAAAAGGCATGGACAATAACCCGCATCGTATGCCCTAGACCATGGAGCACCCCTCACCCTCGGATGTAAATTCCCGCCACGACCAGTAATTTGATAATGCCGAATTTGATCAACTTCACAGTTATATTAGGAGTATGTCACCCCTCTCCGCCTCTGTATATACACAATCTTCAGTTATTTTAGGAGTATATCTCCCTCGCCGCCTCTGCCTCGGCTTACGTATGTAATATACATACGCAAATTTTTGAATTGATTAGGGTTTAGTTTCAATTGACGTTCTTCTGATCCTGAATCAATGTCGGAGCTTACAGAGGACTTGCTCCTCGATGTGCTGTCGAGGTTACCCGTAATCAGTCTTCTGCGATTCAGGTGCGTCTCAAAATCATGGAAGATTACAATTGATAGCTCGTATTTCATCAAATTGCATCTGAACAAATCAATAAAGGACGTCAATTCTCACAAGATTTTTGCTATCGGTAGAGATCCTAGTACTGTGAATGATGTCATATTCTGTACCCTAAATTTTGATTTTGGATTTGAATTTGAAGGAGTTCAAAGGATTAAGTCTCCTATAGATAATTTTACTGAGGCGGTGAGTTTTATAGGCAGTTGTAGATTTTTAATTTGTTTGAAATATACGGATAAAAAAATTGTTTTGTGGAATCCTTCAATACGTGAGCACAAGATATTACCGTACACCGATGTTGAGATTGAGGACTCTCGTGACAGGAAATACACACGACATAGATTTAGTTACGGATTCGGATACGACGACCTTATGGATGATCACAAGGTTGTGAGATTGGTGTTTGATTATCAAAATGGTGATTATGATGTTGAAGTTTATAGCCTGAAATTGAATGCTTGGAAAAAGATTGAAAAGTTTCCGATCCTTATATCTTGGGTGAGTAGGCCTAGTTTTATCAATGGCTCAATGAACTGGCTTGTGTTCGAGATGAAATCAACTACTACCTTTTCACTTCTGGTCCTCTGTCTTAGAACCTCGGTGTGGCGATTAGTGCCATTGCCTGAATTGATCAATAAGTATCGAATGTCAAATTGGGAGTATTGTCACTTCTGTTCGGATTGGACTCATAGGATGGTCGGCAACTGTTGCTCACCAGGTCATGGATTATGGAAGATAATGGATCATGAACAGACTGAATTTTCGACTAAGTTAAGGTTGCTAAATTCTGATACAATTTTCAGTGAAATATATCAGCACCCAAACTGGATACCTTTGCAGGAAAAATTACGTTCTGAATCAATAGAAATATGTCGTTGGGGGACGTTTTGTTGGGTCGACAACCTTTTTCGACTCACAAGTAGCGACGGTCAAATATAACGAACAAAGCTAGTCATCTGGTGGGAGTTCAAGAAATCGATGAAATTTTTCAAGCAAGTATTTGATTAGGCAGACAACTTATTTTTTTTGTCTTTATTATATACATCATCTCTTGGCTTATTTTAGAAATTCTGTGTCAACTACACAAATTGTTTATGAATATTATCGAATTATGTCATGAACTATTATTGGGCGGGCTAAGGAACGGTATACGAAAACATTGAACTAGAATTGTTGGGCTTTACCCGAGGGGAGCCCATCCAAAAATTCTCTACAGCCCTGGGCAAACCAGGGCCGAAGAGGGGGTTTGGAAATAGTTTTCAACCAGCAATAGACGCGCCTCGGTTAGAACCTCACTAGCTGCGTCATTGCCCCAAGCGCAAAGATACTTAAAAATGCTAATATCCCTCCTCCTTTATAATCACTTTTCACTCACGCTTTTAATAGGAGTCCGATGTGGGACAAATAGAGTGGTCCTCCCTCAAACATTAAGCAAATCTTATTATAATTTATTTATTCATTCCATTGATTTTCAGTGTTAACGAAAGATTAATTTGCTGTTAACATCTGATCTACATAATCTATGGAATTACGTTCTTACTCTTATATGAATGATTTTTTTATTTTATTCAACTCTACTGGTCGATATAAGATGAGTAGCACGTCAAGCAACTTAAATAGATACCGCAGGAAAGGTGCAACTTAGCGAATCAAAAGATACATTTCAACGCGCAGAAAAGAGGAACAAATTCCAAACAAATCGAATGATAATAATTCATTGTTTCATTTTCATGATTAACAACCCTTATTTTCGTCGTATAATTTGTCCAATGAACAAAGAAAACTATCCCGTTTCCTTAAAACTCTTACAACGGCATGCTAACATACAGAACCTGGCCTCGCCTCAATAAGTTATCTCATGTATAGACAATCAATGCACACGGCATTTTACAGACTACAGTCTGTATATAACAGAAAGACAAAACACCTCCTCTAAATCAGGATTTTCCAGTTACTTTAGGCTTGACTTACTTGGTTGAAAAAGAATGATTATCGACCATCACCAACAATGTCGTTGGCCAAAAGCATGATCGTGAGTTCTTGCAAACTTTCTGAGGCTACTTGCTGTCCTGTTAATTCAGCCAGCATAAGGAGGATCAGTGAATGCCCATTCAAAAACTTGTTCGTATTGAATTGCTGCATTATCCCATGAAGACTCTCTCTCCATTCCTCGTTTCATCAATCCTTCCCAAGAAGATTTGTGCTTTGTGTAAGTCCCGATGGCTAATTTTAGTGCCTGCAAACATTCATAAGCAGTGATTTTGTATGAAATCAGTTAGTCTAACCATGCAAGATTATTCTACAAATGAGCAAGTGACAGACTAATAGATCTATCAGCTCATAGAAAACCAAGTCGAAGATTACGATTATATTATCGTTATAATTGTACCATATATAGATAGATTGCTTTTACCATATTTAGTTATGCTTTTGGTTCTATATAATGAGAGAACCCCTCACATTGAGGAGCATCGAGTTTTATTGATTATTATTGTGTATATTTGACATTATGTGGATGAGTCAAAATATGGAGATGCAGTAATTTAAAGGAATCATCTCAATCATAACTTTTCATCACTGGACTTTCAGTTTGCTGAGGCCATGTATTGTTACTCGTATTATTAAACTTTGCGCTGAGAATCTATTCAAAAATAGAAATGAAGAAACTAAACAGCTGCAAGAATCTGAACTGTAACGTCAGCCTGGCCTTTACAAGTCCACGTCCATAGGTTTAATCTTCAATGTTCATCCCTATTTTAAACATTTTCTCTTCATCCACCAGATTTGTTATAATGGGAGAAAAAAACAGAGAAACATGTAGCCCAACCAATCAAATATGGAGCAAAGCAATGTAAGCACATGTTATCAATCCAAGTCATTATTTAACAAGATAATGAATGATGAGAAAACTTACTGCGAGGAAATTCTCGCTTGAGAGAGGAGAAAAGGTCCACCTGTTCGGCAGTGCAAGATATCAGAATTAGCTCGTGATAAATGTTATTTCAATTGAATGGGTAGAAGCATTGAAATAATTAGACTACCAGAAACAGAATGTTCTCTGTTTCTCTAGAGGCGTAAAAAAGTTGAATTCGTCCTCTAGTAATCACAATGAACGTTTTAAACCATTTTTAAGAGCCTATGCACTCAAGAATTAGATATTCAAAATGAGAACTACCCCATATATGGTGGCGAACAGCCCCCACACAACCATTATTTATCTTTTATGCTTAAGTTAGAGGCCTCACAGGGGGGAGGGGCGATCGCCCTGGCAATATTTTTAAAATTTTCTTACAATTTTTCAATATATATAAAATTCCAACAATTGAGTATGTTGACAAAATAAGTACATAGCCTAGTGGTAGAAGTTCTACTTTGCAAACAATGTGGGTTCGATTCCCAACAGCCACATTATCAATCCCCCCCCCCCCCCCCCCCCCCCCCCACCACAAT